CACAGGGTACGTGCTGCTGGCTCTGGAGTGCCCGGTCCTCGCGTGGCTGCAGCTCACCGGAGCGTGCCCCAGCACGTGTGAGGAGGCCGGCACGGCACAATCTGTTTTTCTGGCTTTGAGAGGCCGCAGGAGCTGAGCGGGGCTCCCCAGCCAACACGCGCTTCCTCGCCTTGTGGTGTCTCGGCACAGAGGCTGAGTTCCTCTGCGGTTCAAGATCTTGTGACGTGCCAAGAGCTTCAGCAGCTGAGCAGGAGGGCCGAGTCCTTTCCGCTCTCAGTGCTGTGCTGGTGGTCCTTGTCCTCTCAGTGGCCAAGTTCCCTGGAGTCCACTCCAGAAATCCCACCTTGCTGAAGGCAAGTGCTCCGGCTAGTACAACACTTGGTGCCAATTTCTCCTCAAAAAATCCTCAGGGAAAACACACCCCAGGTGGAACCTGTGTCTGCAGGAGGTGCTGGGAGCCGATGACAAAGCCAGGCAGTTCCTCGTCCTGGCACAGACATTGCCTCTGTGCAGAGGCCGGGCTCAGGGCATCAGCAGCTCATCCCACGCAGGATCCCCGTGCTGCAACGAGAGAGACGTTAGAGAGTTTGTTCCAGGGAGTGTTTCATCTTGGACTCCTCAGCTTTGAAATGCTTTTCAGCAATTCTGTGCTGTTGGCTCAGCCAAGGGATCTGCTGAGAAGAGCCCGGTCTGTGGTGCCGGTTTGGGAAGTTTGAATCAAGTGGTGCCTCTGAAACCAGGAGGACTGCTCAAGATCTTAGCCTGCAGCAGCAGGAGCCTTTCCCACAACGTCCGAGGGCAGCGATCCTTGCTCCTGCTTCAGCTCCGCTGCACAGGCTGAGAGGATCTCTGTCCTCCCTTTCCTCCTGCGCTTCTGAAAGAGTCTCTGCCTGGAGAATGAGGTAACCCAGAACAGTTCTCAAGCGTTTGTGGGGTCTGTCGTGGTTGTCAGATGCGGCAAGACCGACTCTGCTGTCCCTGGAGTGCCGTGAGATGTCTCCTCCCCACCCACAAGTCGGGGTTCCTCTGATTTATTTTTTTCCTCCAGCGGGGCTGCCTGGCAGGGAGGCTGCAGCAGCGAAGGTGAGGAGGGAAGCAAGCTGGGCTCCAGCTGGGACCGCACGGAGCCTCTGCTCAGCGAGCAGCAGGGTTTAAGAAGTGTTTCCTTGCCTGTGGAAGGACAAAAAGGAGCAGCTATGGAGGAGGCAGCTGGGGGGAAACATCTCCAGGAGCTGCCAAAGCAAAGTCCTCTGCGTTGCCATCGCAGCTCTGCCAGCGCGATTCCTTTCTCTGCTCCCCTCCAGCCCCTCTCCCTGCTCCCCCATCCCTCTGGCCTTCCCCTACATCCCTCCTTCTTTCTTCATTCAGCCAATACCTCTGAAATAAAGTTAAAAACAAATTGTTTGAAGCATAATTTTGCTTGCTGTTTGGTGACCTCTGGTTTATGTGGTGAGCCACACGTGGGCTCTTAGGTGACGCGTGCTCTAACAGATGTAAAAACCTGATTTTTTTACCTTGTAAATTTGACCTGTTTGTCCTTTTTTAGATCATCCAGAAACACAAACATCTCCAGGGGTGTGTGTGCAGCAGCACAGTTGGGTTGCAATCCTCCCGCTCTGCCTTAGGGACATCGTTAGGTGACAGCCTGAGGGGGCCAGAGATGCTGTGTTCAAGCACAAAGAAAACGTGGTAGAGAGGAAGTTGGATTTTCTGGCATTTGGTGATCCTTGTCCACGCGCTTGAGTGAAGAACGTTTTCCAGCAGGGTGGTTATTCCTAGGACCTGCTGGGTCTTGGCTGAGCCTGAGGTGATGTTTGCTGGCTTATCAGAAACCCATTGATTTCAAAATTATTGAAAAAAATCAAAATCCTTGATTTCCTGCTAGCTTGTCCCCTCACCAGGAGCTGCCTGGTTCTGCCCCCATGCTCCACAAGGCTGCTGGAGCTTGGCAGAGGGGGTCTTGCTCTGCCCTTGGGGCTCTGACCCCCTTCTCTCGGGTGGCTCGGTGTCATGCCAGCACCCTTTCTTCACGCTGGGTACGTTTCACAGGTTTGCGCAGTCGTGGGCCAGCTCCTGCTGAGCTCAGCCCTCCCGATAGAGGTGCAGCCCATTCCTTTGCACCCACATCTGAGCCCCCTGTGTTGTCGGGGACCACAGCCGTTGCCATCATCTGTAGCTCACCTTGCACGGGCTCCCTCCGCCCCGCCGACCCTTTTCCTGTGCCTCAGTTTCCCCGTTTAAGCACCCGTAGCAGCAGCTGTGGGGATGCCCAACCCTGCCCGCACATGCTGGTTTTTGGCCAGGAGGCACAGGGGATGGAGAAGGGCTGCGCTCACCCCT